GGGTGGGGGGGGACGATGACATAGACAGCCCCGCACCCTGGCCATGTACGTCTCCACCCCACCCCTCCTCCTTCGCAGCAGCCTGGCTGAGCAGGCAGCACTCAGCCAAGCGCCACAGCGGGAGGGAAGGGGAAGGGGAAGGGAGGCGGGGAGAGACAGAGGGGAGAGAGAGGCACGAGGAGGAGAAGAGAAAGGGAGAGTGAGAGGGAGGAGGGGGAGAAGAGAAAGAAAGAGACGGAGAGAGAGGCAGGAGGCGGAGGAGAGCTGAGAGAGAGGGGGGAGGCAGTAGGGAGGGAGAGAGAGACAGAGCGAGAGAGCTCAGGAGAGAAGACCTGAAAATCCCGTCTTATTGGCTAGTTGAGAATAATGTTTGGTGAATATGCCTTCTCCGTATGTGGGTCTTTAGTAGACCATCATGTTTTTTAAGGAACAAACAGGTGATGATTTTTCTTTTTATAATCAAGGCTTCTGAGACATTACAAGACCCTGAAGGTGCCTACAGGGAAGCTGAGCAACCTGAAAAATGTGCTGAGTCTTAAGGTGACAGAGAAACAGAATCTTTCATCCAATGAAGAGGCCGTGGCACTACTGCAGGTAAGGGAGATGGGGAGGTAAAGCGGGATTGGGATCAGAATAAAGAATACGTATAAATCCTTGTTCTCCTCCTCAGAGGCTCCTCCAATAGAAGGACCATTTAGTCCCGGGGGAGGGGGGGGAACTTCGGTGTTAATATTCTCTCATTCCTGAGTTTCTCTTCATACTGCTTCATTGAAGGACCCCTGGAGAGATTACTGTTTCCTGAGATGAAGAGGAAATTCAGTCCAGGTTCACTCAATCCTGGTCTTATTCACCTCTTTTATCAGGCATTCTGTTAAAACAAAACAAAAACCACCAGAAACCAACAGCACCCTGGTGTGCCTCACAGTGCAAAGGGGAGCAATGACTACCTGAGGAATTATAAACCGGTCAGCCTAAGAAACTAAAACAAGTTATTCTAGTTTGAACTAGGGTGGCTAATGTAAGCATTCAAACTTGCAAATGAAGCCCGGGATTAAAATATCCCGGGCTTTATTTGCATGTTCCCGGGTGCTGCCATTTTTAAATGCCCCATAGTTCGAACTCCCTGCCCGCAGCTACACGCAGCACAGACTAGGTAGTTCAAATTAAGGCTCCTAATTCAAACTACAGTTAAACCTCCTTGCAAGAGGAATAATGGTAGTTCGAATTAGGAGCTTTAATTCGAACTACCTAGGCTGTGCCACCTGTAGCCACAGGCAGGGAGCTCAAACTACGGGGCATTTAAAAATGGCAGCGCCCGGGAACATGGAAATAAAGCCCGGGATATTTTAATCCCGGGCTTCATTTGCAAGTTTGAATGCTTACATTAGCCACCCTAGTTCAAACTAGAGTGGCAGTGTAGACATACCCCCAGTTTGTAAGCACATGGATGATAATAGTGTTATAAAAATAGCCAGCATAGATTTGTAAAGAACAAATCCTGTTAAACCAACCTAATTCCTTTTTTCGACTGGGTTACTAGTGAATGGAGGTATAGGGGGAGCTATAGATGTGATATATCAGTTTTAGTAAGCCATTTGACACAATCCCACATGACATTCTTATAAGCAAACTAGGGCAATGTGGTGTAGTTGAAATTACTATGAGGTGAACATAACATAAGCATGAACATACTGGATCAGACCAAAGGTCCATCCTGCTCAGTATCCTGTGAGTGGCCAGTAAAGTGAGTGCAAAGCTAGTTGAAAGACTTTGGTCAGAGTAGTCATCAATAGTTCACTGCCAAAATGGAAGGACATATATAGTGGGGTGCCATAATGGTCCATCTTGTGTCAAGTATTATTCAAAGTCTTAATTAATGACTTGGATAATGGAGAGAAGGTGATGCTTATAAAATTTGCAAAGGACACAAATACAAGCACTTTGGAGGACAGAATTGGAATTCAAAATGATCTTGACAAATTAAGAATTGGTCTGAAGGAAAAAGTCAAATGCACAACTAAAAAATGGTGAACAACTGGCTGGACAGTAGTATTGCTGAAAAGGATTAGAGAGTAGTAGTTAATCACAAACTGATTGAATCAACTGTGTGATGCTGTTATTTTGGTTCTTTCCTTGTGGTGTAACTTAAATTTAAAAAGGGGTATGAACTTGGGAAACCCGCTTTGCTAAGCTGCTTCAAGGCACCCTATATGTGTATTAAAGGTCACAGCCATATATGAACCTTATGCTTCAACTCATTATCTATTCTAGATGAAAGGTCCCAGATATGTGTACGCTAACTTTGCCTTAGTTCAACATACAGGATGTGGTCTATACATGCCTTACATTGCAGTCAAACTACTTTAATATAAACCTAGTATAGTAAAACAAAATTATATATATATAAAAAGAAATCCATAAGAAAAGATATGTAGACAAGCATGTAGTTCAGTCCCATGGGCTACATCAGGGAAGTTAAAAAATGAGTCTGTTACGTAGGACTCTAACACAATGTTTTGCATATAAACAGTTTTTAACTGTATTTATTCTGTTCTTTCCATTTTTACCCAGGAAGAAATAGCAACAGCTGTGGAGACTGCTGAGAATACAGATGAGAATATTCAGAGCCTGCAGGATAAAATCCGGACTCTCAGGAACCGGTTGGAGGAAGCTGAGGATAAGGCTAAGAAGGTATCTCATAACAAGATTTGATGCATTGATCCCAGGAGGCCATGTTTCTGGAACCAGGATTTTTCAGCAGAGGGTCTTATGTAGGAGAGAGAAACCCTGGGATTAGGAATGTTCATTTTCAAGGATTTCTAAACATTGGAGATTTCTGTTATTCAGGACTAAGAAATTAGGAGAACGGTGGCTTGTAAAGGCTCTGTTTGCATCTGTCATCAGATTGAGTTTTTCTTGCTCCTCTAGGTGTTCCAGACAAACGGTACAGGGGTCCTCAGCCTTCCAGAACTCCCAAAGAACAGTCTGCAAGCACCCATTCTTCAGGTGAGCAAGGGCAGAGTACTGTTTTCAGTGACCTTCCAGCCGATAAGGAGGACACAACAGAAACCAAATTTTCCTTTCTAGCAGGAATTGTCTGTATTTCCTCTCTCCTAGGGAGAGCAATGCATTTGCATTTGAATAGACTGTAAGATATTCTGAATAAGAGCTGACTCTCTGATAACAGGGAGCAGTTTATTAAATGGTCTCAGATATTTCCACCCAATTGTTAAGGATCACTTCCCTGCCTATGACTTCTGATCCTCCTTTCAACTTGTAGATAGCTAGGACTCTGCTGGAAATAGTCTGACTAGATGAAATTTCTGTTGGCCTCTTTAAGGGCTTGTCTACACATACGTGGGTATGATTTTGAAAATGCCCTTCCGTATTGCGCAGTATTGCTCCCTGTAGATATGCCCTGAATGAAATGGATATGTCTTGTCTTTCTTTCACCTATTCTTCATTTTCTCGCTTGTATTTCTTCCTCAGGAAGAGATTCTGAAAATTCAAGATCAGAAAGGTATTTTGAAGGACCTACACTCCATCCAACAGTCAGCTGAGATGAAGAATATGTTGACTCTCCTTGAACAGGCCTACAAGAAGGTGGACTCGCTTTGAGGAATCTGTATGTCTGCCAATGCTAAGGCAAGCTTTATTTCATGCCAGCGGTGTTGACTCTGACAAAATGTTTTTTGCTTCTAAAGACTTGCCTTCTGCAAACACCAAATATCTGTTAACCTTTTTATTAGACAGATGTTTGCACAATATATTGATTGTTGCCCAGTCAAACATTAGTGATACGCTGCTTTTTTCATTGGTGTAAAGACCAGACATGTACAACTTAGTTCATCCACATAAGGACCACTTTTATATAACATATATATTGTATTAATAAACTAGGTTATGACCAACGTTCACTCTAATCTTTTCCATCCATGTGCGGATTAACTTTTTATGTGCACCAAGACATGCAAATGTGCATCACCAGTAGAAACAAAAGCCTAGCTGTGGATGCTCTGCTAATCAGCCTGGTGGCATTTGAAACTCTCCTGAGAGGCCATACAATTGCACAGCTTACAGGGAACACTGGTTATGGCTGATATTTTCCTTTTTCAGACTCTCTTTTGGGGCTCAGCAGTAAATTTACTAGCTCTAATATCACATTAGATATGTGGGGTGTGTGTGTTGTTTGGAAGACTAGGATTGTTTCATTATATTACCCCAGTCATATCAAGAATGTGAATTCAGCACCTCTGTGGACCCAACTTTAATTCTAAAGAGAAAATTACATCTTATTTGAAGTTGAATGATGTAATTGACATTTTATCTAATGAATAGTTGCTAATCCACTATAATTGTTCCCTTTTCAAGCAAAATTAGGCCTGTCTTTAAATGTAAATCAAAACACTTATGTGGGAACCTGAAATTAATGGATCAACATTTCATCTTATCAGCTGAATAGTATTCCTTTCACTTAGTCTATTGCATAGCAAAGGTGTTCACACCTGGTTCAGTAGGGGATTATGTTTATGCAGGGAGATGGACAGGGACAAGGAAAGGGTATAGTACAAATCTCTGGTCTTAAGAGTTCTGTACTCACCTCTTATTTCATTTATTCTCAGGAAACCTTTAATTTTGGAAAAGGAAAATAAACTAAAATGTGCATTTCCTCTCAGGTTTGACCCTACTTGTATGTTTGTCAGTGAAAGATTTTTTCCATTATATGATCTGGTTAGGACAAAATGCTTCTATTAAATTAACATCTGAAAAACAATGTTCACTTTATACTGATCACTCATGGAATTGCTTGTCTTCTTATTTACAGGCTACCAATCTCTTGGATAAGGAAAATAGGGATAATTAACTCACATATCTGAGCTATGGGGATTTAAAAGCCTGCGTATAGTTGCTATGCATGGGACCTGAAGATTCAGGGTAGGAGACCTGCTTTCTACTCTGGGTGAATCAAGCAAGATTTGTTTTTTATAAACTCATCTGTTTTTCAGAAGGTTTGGTCAGTGGCAGAAATGAGCACTTATTGAAATAACCAGGATCCCAACGTAACTCTCCCCAATTTATAAGTTTGCTGTTTTTCCTTATTTCCCTCCCCCTCCCCCCCGCTTATTTATTCTTGGTTTTGGACTTCCAACACTCGGGTCATCTGAAGAAGTGGGCTGTGCCCACAAAAGCTCATGATACCATCTACATGTTTTGTTAGTCTATAAAGTGCTACCGGACTATTTATTGTTTTTTAAGGTTTTCCTGTTACAGACTAACTCAGCTACCCCTCTGAAACTTTTAAATATTGGAGTTAGTTGTCTAAAGCAGCAGCTGGGGGCCTGAAGCTCACTTAAGTGACATAGATAAACACTATCACCCTCTGTGATCTCCTTCCTGGTGCTAGACAATCTCCATACACCAGAGACCTCTTCCTGCATGTGCACTTGCATTGGGTGCATACCTTTCTCTAATGTGCACACACTGCTTTGCCTAGTCTAGTGCTATCGGCCAAGCCAGGCCTAAATAAAGAGGTGATAAAGCACAGAGAGGCAGTAGAAGAGAAGATTAAGGAAAGGAAAACCAAGAGGTTATAAGGGACTGGAATTCTGTTTCCCCCACATCACTTTTATTGCTCAGCTGGATCACTTAACTCTATGGCAGGAGAATGTCTTCCAGTTTAGTTCAGGTTGTTCATTCCTAAATGGTACAAAGATTGACAGAACTGTGTGAACCACATCTGTTCTGTTAATGTTCAGGGTATGCAAATTAGATACAAAGCAGACGATTAATGGATATCAATACAGCAAGCTTGAAATTCTCACTGGGAAAAGGTAAGGCCTCCTGCCGATGCCTTTTTGACCTGCTTCTCAATGTTCTTTTAATCTTGCCATGCCTTTAGATTGGCTTTATCTGGCTAGGGCTCTGCAGATGCTCAACTTGCTCCTCAGAGCAGCTCCTTCCACTAGCCCCAGCTAGCTTTCAAACAGACAGCAAGACAGCCTGCAGCTTCCTGCTGCCTTTTATATTGGAATCACCTGATTCCTCTTCAGTGAGGTCATCTTGTAATCAGGGTCGTCTTGGGCCCAGATGTTATAATCAGGAGTAAGATGAAATATTTCAAAATGGCTGAATAATAATGATCTCTCTGGGCAATGATACTTGTTGGTTTGAAGAAATCAGAGAATCATGTTAATCAAGTCCTGTTCCCTGCACTCATGATGGTCCTTGCTTCTGCAATGAAACAATAGAGCCAAAATGGCCATGTGCTCAAAGTTAGAAATGGATCTTTCACAACATTGCAAGAGTTTTTTTATTTTTTATTGTTTTGTTATATAAATTGATAGGTTACAGGGGTATACAAGGCATAGGGTAAAATGCTGTTAAGATATCTATAGACAATGAAAATAAAGATAGGTCACCTCTAGCAGGCTGTATGTGGGTGGATAAGCAGGAGGATAAAGTGAGGTTGAGTTTGTGCATCTTTTCCCAGAAGCTGTAGTTCATCGGCATGGTACAGCACAGATCTTATGGGGCATTGGGGTGTGGTTATGCCAACTGCGGGAGTGAGGCTGAGATCTGAACTGGTAAGTCCAGGAGGAGGATGGAAAGTGAACCTCTGCAGGAGGCTTGTAAAGAAGAGGAAGAGTTCCATTTTGGCTAGGGTCTCACCTGCACAGATCCTCCGACCTGTAATGAAATACACCAAGGATGGAAGGGTTTCAAAAAATATCAACACGACAGATTTGATTTTTAACTCTAGTAAAGAGTGGTAGATAAGTGCCTAGCCCTTATTAGCTAATTCCTCTTCACAATGTGTGTTAGAAAGCAAGTATTATCATCTCCTTTACAGATGGGGGTAAGTGACCTCTTTGAGGTCCCACCGGATGTACCAGACAGAGGTAAGACTAGAAAGCAAAAGTTTCCCATGCTTAATACCTTGCTCAGTCCACTAGTCGATGTGATCAAGCAGGCAAGTTACTTCCCATATGCAAGGGGACAGATCGAACTTTCTAAACAGCCTAAGGGCTAGAATGTAGCAAGATGTATTCTCTCTAGTCTAAGGTCTATTTTAACTTGTTTTGGGAATAGTAGTGATAGGTTTTGGAAAGAGCCATCGTTTGGTCTTCTTTGGCTTTAAGTCCAGATTCTACAGCCTCTAAGATATCAGAGTGTTTGTTTTTGGATTTTCATCCATCTCTGGAAACAGTGTAATTTTCCTGCTTAGTCCTTTTAAGTCTCTTACTGAAGCTAGGTTTACACTAGCTTTTTCCATTTGCGTTTCTGGAAAAGCCTCCTCTTTCGGAATAGCCCTTATTCCTCATAGAATGAGGTATACAGGCCTCCCTGAAAGAGCGCATCTGCTCTTCCATGAAAAAAAGTGGAAGAGTAAACGCATTTCCAGAATGTGGTGGGGTTTTTCCGGAATAACCTCCAGTATCCCAGAAAACCCCTGCAGTGTAGACATAGCGGCTACGTCTACATTGGCCCCTTTTCCGGAAGGGGCATGTTAATTTCAGAGATCGCAATAGGGAAATCCGCGGGGGATTTAAATATCCCCGGCGGCATTTAAATAAAAATGTCCGCCGCTTTTTTCCGGCTTTTAGAAAAGCCGGAAAAGAGCGTCTACACTGGCTCCGATCCTCCGGAAAAAGCGCCCTTTTCCGGAGGATCTTATTCCTACTTCAAAGTAGAGATCTGAATGGGAGAAATGTCTTATAAAAGATGCGGGCATCTTGCATGAATCTCCTAGTCTCATCTTGTAAGATCAGAGCATCGGTTTGGACCAAGAGAAGCCCTTGCTCCTTCCCCTCACACTTAACTCGCCTCGTCAGTGAATTAATGGGAGCAACAAACTGGTAACTTTAAGCAAAAGCAAGATGGGATGTATGTGTGGGGGGTATGTGTGAATATGTATATAACAGAATAATGTTACATTGTCAGTAAATGTGGCATTTTGCCTTATTCCCCCTAAAAATATCCCGATGAAATTCTTTCAAGTATTACATTATGCCAGTTTGCACCAGCTGACAATCTGTTGCACCAACAACAAGATCCAGCACTATTTCAAGGGTGCCCAGAGCATGGGCTCTTTCCACTTCTCACTTTGCCTCATTAATATTTCATGTCCTCACCATTAATAAACTCTCTAGACTGAATCCTCTGCCCTCTTTCCCATAAACACGTCATGGTTTGAACCAGAGCATTGCAGACATCACTGCATGTGTTAATCTGTGGTTTGTCTTATCTGAACTCAGCAGCTAAGGCTGATTAGTCTCTGCAGGGGAGTTGTCTATGTTAAATGAAGAATCTTGCCAGAAGTGGAGTGGATGGCTTCCTGTCCTATGAGCTAGAACTGACTGTGTTAGGTGGTGTGTGTTGTCTGGGCAGGACTTGGTTTCAGTGAAGTCTTCACTACATGTAAAACTCAAATACTCAGAGCTTTCAATATGCTGTCAGTTCCATGATAGAACTTCTTTGATTCTCTTAAGTTAAAGAGAGAAGGAAATACTCAAAAAATTCAAATCTACATATATAATTGTATAAGTCTCTCAGGTTGTGCTAGCTCTGTAAGGAGAAGGGTCTGCTACATTACCAAGTGCTTTTAGAGTTACTTATTTAGCTCCAGTTAGATGGACTAAGATGTTCAATGCTGAAGGCCCCAGTTTAAATCCCCACTTATCAAAATGGTGGTTATGAGCATGAGATCATGTAATTTCTTGTCAGGAGGAATTTAAATAATCCCTTTCTATTCTGCTTTAATTGGTGAGTTTAAAAGTCCTGGTAATTAAAGTACCTTTTTATAACTTACTTTAGGAATAACATAGCCATTAAGTCTAACATCCTCAGTAGTCTCATGAGGCAAGTTCATTGGCAGGATATCAGCAAACCTCTGAATCTCATGGATGACTGCATCTGTATATGGCATTTGTTTCCGATGCTCATAACGAAGCCGGGCAGATCCTAGAACTCTTTCAATTTCTTCATGGACTTTTTCTGAACAATTAAAAGAGCATGAAAGCAGGTGCTCAGAGACTATGCTGGTGTGAATATTTTAACTTCCCTGGCCACTCATTAATGAGGTTAAAAGTAGCCGTTCTTCTACAAAGGAATTTCACCAGTCAATTACAGACAGAGAGTGTAGCATTGACATTTACCTTCAAATTTCACACTGTTTCCCTTGGCTTGAACAAAGACATTAACTGCATGTTGCAGTATGAAGCCAGCCTTCCCTGCATTTAGTCCCTCATTTTTACACCAAATTTAAGTATTGGACACGTCCAGCCCACTTAATTAGCCTCATTTGCACTGGTCCTAAAAATTGACAGGTACCTTTTCCCCCCTTCTGTTGTAAATTCTGGGTTTCTGTTATCCCTCTCCAGCTCATCTGAAGAAGTGGGTTGTGCCCACAAAAGCTCATGATACTATATATATTTGTGTTAGTCTCTAAGGTGACACAGGTGATTCACTGTTTTTAGTTACAGATTAATACAACTACCCCTCTTGAGACTTTTAGGAGGTAGGAGACAGAAAGAAGACTAAACAATTGCCTGCTAAACAATATAACTTGTTTCTAATCAACACTCTTTAGAAAACAAACCTCTTGTTTCTAACATGCTGCTGCTGGCAACCTTTGTTGCCAAAGCTAAAATTGAACAAACCTCAGATGGGTAATTTGGGGGCTGAAGTGAGCATGTCTCTTCTAGACAGGGTAGCCAATGGAGTGCAGAGAAGGTACAGTCTCGGTGCAAAGGGTAGGTCTTTTGTGTTTAGGGTTCTATCCTGTGAGGTGCTAAACATCCCCTTATTCCACTGACTAAAGAGAGTTGAGTGTGCCCCATATCTGTTGTGGTCACTCTTGGGCTGCGTCTAGACTGGCAAGATTTTGCGCAAATACTTTTAACGGAAAAGTTTTTCCATTAAAAGTATTTGCGCAAGAGAGCATCTATACTGGCATGTGCCTTTGCGCAAAAGATTTGCTTTTGCGCAAAAGCAGCTATGCCAGTGTAGACACTCTCTTGCGCAAGAAAGCTCCGATGGTCATTTTAGCCATCGGGCTTTCTTGCGCAAGAAATTAACGTGGCTGTCTACACTGGCCCTCTTGCGCAAGAATACTTGTGCAAGACGGCTTATCCCTGAGCGGGAGCGTTGGAATATTTGCGCAAGAACCACTGATTTTGTACATTACAGAGTCAGTGTTCTTGCGCAAATACTCGCGGCCAGTGTAGACAGGCGGCAAGATTTTTCACAAAATCATACCAGTCTAGACACAGCCTCTGTGTTTGGAATACACTGTGGTCCCTTCCATCCTGACTACAACCCAGGTTTTAGGGAGACCCTGTGTGGGGAGGGCCACAGAAAGTGATTTAATCAGAGAGCTAAACGATCAAGGAAACCTGCGGGGCCTTCTCTGAGTCCAGCAGCCTCAATAAGGAATTCCTTTTACTTCCTGAGCTGCGTCTGTCTTCTCCCTACTGTGAGGAATGACATCAAGCCAAAGGTCTTGCGTTTGAGAACTGTGGTGTTTGTATATGTGTGGAGACAGTCTGTACAGAAGCACACTCTGTACATGTGGAGCAGAGCAAAAGACATGATGAATAGTCAGAAGGGCTCCAAAATCTTACTCTGAATGTCTGGGTATTTCATCATAAGCAGAAGGCCCCAGCGGAGTGTGGTGGAAGTTGTTTCCATCCCAGCTGTGAACAGATTGCTCACCAAAGTTCGCAAATTCTCATTTTTGAAATGGGAATTGGGATTAGATTTTTCCTGCAAGTACAAAACTCTCAGAGTTTAAAAAATATTTGCAATCAGGGAAAATCTATATTAACCCCCCTTCCCCACCCGTTCCTTCCCTGTTGTAACCTCCTGCTGTTTGACGAGGAAGGCATCAACGAAACTTCTCTGGTCGTTGGGATCTAATTGCTTCAGGTGTTCGATGAACGTCTGCTGAATAAAGGAGTAGAGTTCTTCCAGATTTTTAAAGAAAGTCTTGTGATTTCCTGGTAGGAACTCAAGGGCGGGAAACATATTGAACAGCTAAAGGAAGGGAATATAGCACAGTTAGCAAAGAGGGAATGCAGATTATAATGGTTAACAAATCATTCCTGATCAACATGTGGCTTTTTAGCAGTATGTACTGAAGTGAGAAATACAACCTTGTAAATAATAGGACCTGATTGTATAAGACTTTCACATGCAGAGCTTCCATAGAGGTCAATGAAACAATTCTTTGAAGTACTTTCTTTCATATAGCTGATGTAGAGCAACAACTATAATTTTATATTCAGACAGTTAAGCCAGCTAGAGTTCTTAGCTGTCTCTCTTCTCTGCTCCCAGGTGCTGCCCGGCCTGGGATGGCCAAGCTAGGGGTGCTGGCTTGGGAGAGGCTCTTGGGGAGCAGTGGGTCTGGCCCTGCTGGAGATTCCCTCTCCTAGCAGTCTGGACTCTGGAAGGTCCAGCAGCAGCCCTTTCTGGGACTCAGGGATCCAGCCTGCAAGCTGGCCCCAATGTCACCATGAGGAGTGGCTGCCAGTTTTTTTCTGCTGTGGGGTCCATGCCCAGCTCTGACTCCCAGAGCTCCTGCCTGCTGGTCCTTGGTCTTAGTGAGCAACCTTTCGCACTGCAGCCTCTGCCCCTGGGGGCCTTCCTGCCTCTGGGCTCAGGCAGCATCCCCCGCATCAAGGCAGCATCATGCAGAGAAGCCAACATAGTGCTGGGCACAGGGAGAAGATACAATCCCAGAAAGAGGAGAAGAGTTTCTGGGCAGACGGGGCCTTGCTCCAGAGTTCCACCGAGCCAGTCATCAAGGCCTGGATGTGCCCTGGCAGTGTGCTACAGCATGGTAGCCAGCAGTTTAAAGCCTGGCACTGGTCCACTGACTTGTGGTTGAGAACCACTGAACTATCTGATAGTGGTGAGGTTTATGGGCAGGATTTTCCGTGTACTGATTATTCACTGTAGGCAGGTCATTATACAGTTGCCTGTCATAATGGTTTCTTGCTTTTTTCCTGTGGGTCATCTTGTGCCATTTCCTGTTACATATTACAGCTGCTCAGGAAGTTTTAGATTAAACGGTTTAATCAGAACATTCAAATTCATTGAAACTAAGACTTTTCAAAGAAGCATACTGGTTTGATGACGTTTTCAACAGGAAAGGTTTTGTAGCTCCAGGATTGAATTTTTGGTCAAACGTGAAAGAGATAGAGAGGAACAAACAATTTCCCGTAACAGCCAGTAGCTCTGTATTTAGGGTACTCATGCAGGATATGAGAGGCTCAGGTTCAAATGGCTGCTTTGCATTATTCTTCCACATCTGATGTGAGTGCTCTAATCACCATGCTCTTAGCTAAGCTGAGAATAGGATCTCTCTCTTGGAAATGTTCTGAAATCTCCAAAATGTACCTGGAATAAACCAGACTGACTAATATTACCGTAACTGTAGGACTCCCGGAAAGACGGACAATTTCATTAATTAAATGGATAAGCCGCAGAAAATTTGGATCCTTGTAATCAAACCGGTGTCCGAGCATTATCGACACAATGACATTGGAAACACCAGCATTCATCAATTTAATGGTATCAAAGGGGCTTCCTGAAAAACATTGAGTGGCAACAGCAATCATTTTGTTGATATCCAGCACGTTTCATATTGAATCCATTGAAACAACAGCCCTCCCTTTTGAAATGGTCCCTTTGGGATTACTTGCATTCCTTTGCCCAATAGAAGGGAGCAATCTCTGGGCTTCTTTAAGAAGGGGCATTGCTCATGTGCAGAGAGGGAGAGGTCCTTAAATTTTTCCCAAACATCAGATACTCAGGTCAAATTTCTCTAAGAGTCAATTTGAGATTTGCCTCAGTGAGGAACTGGCCCACTTTTATTAGGCTAAACCCTTTATCACCTTCCCTTCCCACTCCTTACAGAGCCACCAATGTGTTCCAAGTGGCTCAGACTCCTTCCCTAAGTCCTGACTAGTTGGAATCAAAGGTAAAAGAGTTAGGGCTAAGTTAGTTTCCAAGCGTGGCAACCCAATGAGCTTAGCAGAAAGGGGACTTCGTGTGCCCAAATGTGTTGAAAGACTTTGAATGATTACCAGTGTTGTACTGCAAAGTTCAACATGTGCTCACCTTTGTGGGATTCAAAATCCTGTATCAGATAATCACATTCTTCCAGGATTTTGTCTTCAATGGTCCTTTTGCCCATCCCAAAATCCCGGAGAGTCGTGAGAGTGAATCGTCTCATCGCTTTCCAGTTTTCACCGTGAGCAAAAATAATACCTGACATGCAAAAGAACCCCCAACCAAACACAAGCTTCAGTTAATTGTATTTTAACAGTGAAAACAACTAAATTGAAGCATCCATAATGCTCAGCCTTCCAAACACCAAAGGCTACAGTTTCAGAGCTGTCCAAGGCAAGTAGCTATTCTTCTTTGAGTGATTGCTCATGTCCATTTCATTTAGGTGTGTGCACCATGTGCATGATTGTCAGAAGCTTTGTCTCCTCAGCAGTACCTGTCAGGCCAGCTGGGAGCCCCCTGGAGTGGCACCTTGATGGCAGCACATATATACCCCTGCTGGCCCTCCACCCCCAGTATTGCCTGTGACCGTTGTTGTAACGCTCTCCTCTGGCCATCACAAGGGCTCCCTTAGGGATTCTTCTGTAAATAGTTACGTCTTTATAGTTATTGTAGTCATCGTTTTAGTGTGCTAGTAGTGTAGCAGTGATAGTGTGAGTGAGTGGGGTTTTCCACCCCAAGTTTGCTTGCCTGTATAGGGGTATGCTCAGACCTCAGGGCTTTAAGCCCTACTCACAGAGCTTTAAGCCTATGTTCAGTGGCGACCTGCACAACTTGTCCAAGAGAGTGTCACCAGCTGGATTGGTGTAAATTTTGCCAGGGATTCAAGCCACGCACCAAAAAGGTGAAGACACGAGGCCTGATGGAGGCAGCTCTTCAGCCACAATCAGCCTCTGAGTTGGTATGTGATGCATAGCATGCTGCCCTCAGCATGGGAACTTTCGACACCAAGAAGACCATACCCTGCTCTGAGACAGAGCAAGTCTATGCTGCACTGCTCACAGTTCCCAGTGACCCTGAAGAAGAGGAGACTGGAGGGGGGGGGGAACAATCTCCTTCTAGGCACCCGGCCAGAATGCACCCCAGGAGGAACACTCTAAATCAGCTACTCAGCCAGCACCAGTGGTCGCTTCTGCAGCCTCGAGACTGCAGTTGATCCCAGTGCAAGTCAACTTCCCAAAGATGTACAAGGCAGTTGGGGACTACTTTAAACAGCCTTTCATCCCAGAAACATTTGAGGCTGTCATGGATGTTCTCCACACTGGCACGACGAATGCAGAAGTGGGGGCCCGCAAGAGCCTCTACAGGTTCTGGTACAAAACTTCCCCCCCAAAATCCTAATACCCGGAGTTTGGGGAATCCTCTGCCACCACCCAAAAAATTCCAAGAAAATCAGGGAAGAGATTACTTGGGAAATCTCCTCCCTAAGATAAAACTCTCTTCCTGCCCCAACCTCCGTTTTACTTGGAGTTGGGAAAAACAGAGGGAATTCACAGACAACAACAGACTCTGCCCTTGTAACTAGGCACTGAGTCCTAAGGACACAACAGTCAACCAATCCTAGTTAATTAGAAAAGAAAACAATCCTTTACTATCAAAACAAAACTACACTTGCAAGCATAGTAAAGTGGCTAGATGGAAAGAGCCACCAATTGATATAGATAACTGGGGAAAGTTTTTGGGCTAAAAGCCTTAGTTATAAAAGAAAAAAATCCACAATTAACAGTTCAGACATTATTTCCAAATCCCCAAATAAGGAAAACAACGAATCCTGCCAGACTAGCTAAACTTTTCCCTACTTACACTTTGTAAGAAGTCCATTCTTGGAGAGAGAAGTATCTCCCATCACCCTCAGTACTTGCAAGAAACTGCTCTGCATCTCAAACACAGAAGAGAGAGAAAAACTTCTTTTTTCCAGTTTGAAATTCCTACCTGCATTGTTATTGGTTGATCACCCGATTCCTGGCTAGGTACAGGAGACATTAGTTAAGCCCTTAGTCACCGGGTGCTGGTCAGCACTCCTGATTATGACAAAGGCAGACAGGGATCTCAATTAAAATTACAAGTCCCTGGAGATGGCACTGAAGTCGGGGGATCAAGGAGATTCTTGTTCCTCTGCTTCCTTGGCATGGACCTACCTTTCCACAATGAGACTGCATTCCTGGCCACCACTGCTTGCCTTGCACCAACCTGACAGTTTGGCATCAAGGCAAACCACCATTGATGTCTTGGCATGCTTCACAGCACCAATCACTGGCACTGACCTTTTCAGCACTACTTTGGTCAACCTCTGAGTATTTCTCAGAATTGGAAGCAGAGTCCATCACCTCCTGCCCAACTGGGCACCGTTCCCACTCCCAGCACCCAAGCACAGCTCCTCAGCCTCCACAAGCCACCTGGCCACTTCAGTGGCAGTCCTCCATGCAGTGGTTCTTTTGGACTCCTTGGGCCTATCAGACCCAGGGCCCATCAACATCTAGAGCAGCATCGTTCTACTCAGCCTGGACATGGTGCCTCATCTGCCACATCTTTTCCAGGGCACAGCTCTGGGTCAGAGTCCAGTCACAGCCGCCAAAAGGATTTCCCCAAGCCTTCCCTCAAGCCTTTACCCTTAAACAAGGCCAAGTTTACCCTTGTCCCCATGCAGCAGATAGAGTTTATGAGAGCCTTGTAGGACTCCAGGGCCTCCCTTCCAAGATCCTGGTTCCTACCTATCATAACATCTACAATTCTCCCTGATTACAATAGCCATGAATTGTGTGAGACTGCTGGGCCACATAGAAGCATTTATGTATGTTGTGCTAGCTTGGGTGCATGTCAGACATTTCTAACCCATTTCTGAGGCAAGTGCGTTTCAGTACTGATGGGCAACACAGCAGCAATATTTTATATAAACAGAAAGGTTGGACTCATTCTTCTCCCCTCTGTCAGGAAGCCCTCTGTCTGTGAGAGTTTTTGTATCCAACATTTTGTATCCTTCCACTTGGAGGTCACATACCTCCCAGGAATTCAGAATGTGCTGGCAGACCTATTTGCAACAAAGAGCAACAGAAAGTGCCAGCATTTTTGCTCTTATCTAAAGCACAGTCCGAGTTCCCTAAGAGTGTTTTTCAGGTACCCTGGATATCCCACCTGATATACACCTTTCCTCCTTTCCCCATCATACACAGCGTTATCCTCAGAGTGTGGCAATATAGAACTGGCCCCACCAACATTGGTTCACCACTCTTCTGGAGCTCTCAGTGGTGGACCATATAGCTCTCCCCATATTCCCAGGCTTAATTACCCAGGCCCACAATCAGTTATGTCACCCCAACCTACAGTCCCTCCACCTAATGGCCTGGAAGCTCCATGGTTGGGTGGATCAACAATGTTTGGAGTCAGTAAAGGAGGTGCTCTTGGGCTGTAGAAAACCCTCCACTACGGCCCTTATATGGTCAAATGGAAACGGTTTTTGATTTGGTCCCTCTAGAAGGGCATGGACCCTCCAGGGGAGTTCAGGTCCTTTTCATACTGGGTTACTTATTGGTGCTCAGGACACAAAGTTTATCTATATTCCTATGTCTACACTACCATCCTAGTTCGAACTAGGGTGGTTAATGTAGGCAACCGAAGTTGCAAATGAAGCCCGGGATTTGAATTTCCCGGGCTTCATTTGCATGTTGCCGGGTGCCGCCATTTTTAAATGCCGTCTAGTTCGGACTCTGTGCCTGCGGCTACACGCGGCACGGAATAGGTAGTTCGGAATAGGAAGCCTAATCCGAACTACCTATTCCGTGCCGCGTGTAGCCGCGGGCACGGAGTCCGAACTAGCGGGGATTTGCAAGATGCAAATGAAGCCCGGGAAATTCAAATCCTGGACTTCATTTGCAACTCCGGTTGCCTGAATTAACCACCCTAGTTTGAATTAGGGTGGTAGTGTAGACATACCCTATCCTCTTTCAAGGTCCACCTAGCAGCTATCTTTGTCTTTCAACCAGGTATTCAAAGCAAGTCAGTTTTCACTACCCAACAGTATGGTGCTTTCTGAAGGGCCTAGATAGGTTGTACCCACAGGTGTGGCAACCTGTTTCTCCCTCAGACCTTAATGTTGTCCTCACAAAATTAATGGGGCCACCTTTTGAGCCATTAGCTACTTGCTCTTTGCTACATCTCCTATGCAAAGTGGCATTCTTGTGGCGATCACATTAGCTAGAAGGGTGTCAAAACTTTGAGCTCTAACCTCAGAGCCCCCTTACATGGTTTTCTTTAAAGACAAGGGTCAAGTTATCCAGCATTTTTATCCAAGGTGGTGTCCCAATTTCATACAAAACTGAGAAAGATATCCTGGTTCCTTTCCTAAACCACTTGCTGATAGCCGAGAAAGAGCTCTCCACACTCTGGATCTGAGACATGTGTTGGCATTTTATTTAGAGAGATCAAAACTATTCCGTAGATCTCCACAACTCTTTATCTCCATAGCAGAGAGGATGAAAGGTATGCCAGTCTCCACTCAGCGTATATCTTTGTGGATCTTGGCCTGCATTAGGACCTGCTATGACCTTTGCTAAATGCCACTGCCGGCACTTATAGCCCCTCCTATGCAGGACAGCTATCTGGTTTCCATACATACATTCAGCAGCCACTATGCCATTACCCAGCAGGTTGGGGATGACACAGCTTTTGGTAGAGCTGTGTTGCAGTCCATTTTCCGTTAGTCTCTGATCCCACCTCCTCTATTACAGCTTGCAATCCACTGAAATGGAATGGACATGAGCAATCCCCCAAAGAAGAGAAAAACAGTTACCTGACTTTCAAAACTGTTGTTCAAGATGTGTTCCTCATGTCCATATCAAATCACCCAGCTCCTCGTCATTGGAGAGTTCGGGCAGGAAGGAACTGAGGGGGTGGAGAGCCCGCAGTGGTATATGTGCACTTCTATTGAGGCACCACTCTAGGGAACGGCTTGACAGGTATTGTTGAGGGGAAAAACCTTCCAACAATAATGCATGCGGCACACACACACTTAAATGGAATGGACTTGAGCAACACATCTCGACAAATAACAGTTATGAAAGGCAAGTAACCGTTTCATCATGCATATAGAGTAACTATTTCATGGATTTCTTTGCTTTCCACGTCACATGGTCATGTGTTGAGTTACATGTCTAGGTAAGACAAGCTTGTACTTAATCGTGCCTTATAGCAGGGGCTGGACTAGATAACCTCGGAGTTCCTTTCAGCCCTACATTTCTGGTTCTATAGCCTCTTACAGGGCGGGGGCGGAGGATGGGATTCATGAAAATACTGAGGTGCCTAAACTACTCACAGGTTTAGGCTCCTAAATTCCAACTTCAGTCCCCGCTGAGATCCTGCCAAAGTCTGTAGGTGCCTGAACTTATTTGGTGCCAAAATGTTCAGGGTAAACATTCCACAGGCTCCTACCTTTCTGCTTCCTCCTAGACATCTGGACACCTGTCTCTTACCTACGCCCTGGTGCAATCCATGACCTGGAGTATTCACCTGCCTATCTCACATGTTGAGCCCCGTGGAAGAGGCAGAGGTGGAATTAGTGGCAACCACCTTGTAACTTTTGGCCCAGTAGTTCCAGCGGTTACCTAGGATGTGGGAGTCCTAGTTTCAGTTGCCCCCTGAGGCAGAGAAGAGATTTGAACAGGGATCTACCTCTTCAGAGAATGCACTCGCCATCCATCTGTGGGATAGCCTCCAGCCTCTCCTATTGAAGCTGTTCCACTATGAATAGATAATAGGAGTCACTGGACAAGGACTGGCCACTAGGTCTCCCAGTTGAGTGCCCTGATCACGAGGCTAAGAGACATCCTTGCTGTCTCCCCCAAAGACTGTTATCCAAAATGGAACCACTGCAGCAGGAGAGATTGAAAGAGCCCTAGCTCAGACTATCCCATTGTTTAGTGGGTGAAGCACTCTCCGGAGGGATGGCAAATCCTCTCCCAATCTTTTGTTCCCCCGCTGCCTGAGGAAGAAATTGACCCTGCCTCTCCCACATCCAGATGAGTGCTCTAACCACTGGGCCAAAAATTATAAGGTGGATGGTGGCACTAGCACCTCCTCTTCCTGCTGTTGTGCAGAGTCAGGCAGGCATCTACCACTGACTTACACACCTAATCTGCCTGATTCCAGGAGAAGAGCTTCTACCTGTGGATGGCTAGCAGAACTGATTGCCTTACCGCAGCCCAGACTTAGGAACCGATCCCAATAAGGGTGTGGGGCTTGGGATACACCACTCTCATCCTCATCTCCCTTTGGCTAATTCAGGAAGCTCCCTGCCTAGCAAGCTGGCTTTTGGAATCAATTATACATTTCCCTAAACAATGCATGATATGCCTGATTCAGGATTTATGCAGTGCTGTTCTTCTGATTTTCTAGATGACTAAAAGTTAGGCATTTGGAATCCCCACTTCCTTGGTCTTAGCCTTACCAACAACAAAACTGCTGCATGGAAGTATACAAGTAAAAATGTATGGTGTCCAAACTCTTCTGATTTCTCATCTTTGCAGAACAGATCCCTGACAGATGACGACTGTTTCCAGTGGTCAGAGCATAAAACTGTCATAATTATGTAAGAGATAAAAGAAATCTTACCATATCCTCTTGCTAACTTTTCAAATACAGGCAGTCCCCGGGTTACGTACAAGATAGGGACTGTAGGTTTGTTCTTAAGTTGAATTTGTATGTAAGTCAGAACTGGTACATATTGTAAGGGAAACTCTAGCCAAACATTTCTCCAGAGCTCAGTTTTATTCTCCCACACCTCACTTCCCTCAGTCCTTTATTCTCAAGCTGAGGTGTCTGCTGAGAAAAGCCGCTTCGCGTCTCCCTGGTCTGCTGGGGGGAAGCAGCTAGTGCGGGATTGCCTCACCCCGTTTGTAAGTAGGGATCCGATGTAAGTCGGATCCATGTAACCCGGGGACTGCCTGTATTGGGATTCTGGGCCTTTCTGCAAATGCATCTGCCTGGTTCACAAGAGCCTCCTTCACCATCTTATATCCTGACAGCACCACCATTTTCTTTGGTCCCATCTGAATGCTGAAGACTGGGCCATATTTCTCAGACAGCTTAAACACAGGGAGATTAAAAAAGCTTTATATGTTTTCACGCCAACTGTTTGACCAACTGGAAGGTGTCAATTTGATTTTAGAGCACACAAGCTAGAGCTATTTCTTTTTCTTCTGCCTGCATATGTATCAGAATGAATAAGTGCCAGGTTCAGCATTTGGACAAGAGAGAGTTAAACACACCACTGCTGTCCTGCTGCTGTTTATTTTGTGTGGAAAAAACATGGTAAGGTTTTAAGTATTGCTACAATTTGTGCATTGGGCTTATGTATGCTGGGTACATAGAGTGTGTCTAATGCTCATTGAAACAATCTTTAGTGTACCTGCCAACCTCCTGTGAGGTAGGGAAGCAGTTATCTCATTTTCAGGAAGGGAACTGAGGCACAGAGAGACTTGCCCAAGGTCACTCATGGAGTCTTTGGCAGAGCAGGGAATGAAGCCAAGTCTTCTAAGTCATAGCTAGTGCCCTACTTATTGAAATATGGCATCAAGTTTTGTACTGTTTCTCTATGAAAAACCTATCATATGCATTCATTAGTTTTGTAAGCCTGTGTTCAGCAATCACAGACAATATAATGGGCTACATAATACCAGTTACTATAGAATCTAGGAGCCCTCATCAGGAACCAGCACCCCATTGTGCAAATATACAAACACAGAACATTATGATGGGCCTTGCTCCAATGCACATATAATCTATGTAGCCTGTGGCTCAGCATGGGCAAAGAGGCTTGTGCCACCAGATCCTGATGCAGGATTAAGGCCCAAATAGACAAGGAAGCGATGAAGGACAGGGCATGGGCGATAGCAAGAGGGAATGGGTTGAGAAGTGAATGTATCAGTCCATCTAATGTAAACACTTGAGCACTGGGGCTGTCTCAGAAGAATGGCCAAACTGGGTCAGAGCAAAGGGCCTGTCTTTTGATCTTGGTCAGTGCCAGATGCTTCAGAGGGAATGAGAATACAAGGGCTGGTTTGAGTGATCAAGCCCTTGTCATCCAGTCTCAGATTCTGTCAATCTGAGGTTTAGGGACATCCAAAGGATGGAGTTGCATCCCTGTAGATCTGGGCTAATAGCCATTAATGGACATATTGTGCATGAGCCGGGGCAGGTGAGATGAGGGTGGGAGGTGAGCCCTTAGCTGTACTGGGGCTTGGCAGCTGGTGACCTGTGACCAGGGGTCAGTGCCTGTGGCCAGGGCCTGGGTTTGCACCATGTGGCCAGAACCAGGGATTGGAGCCTGATGCTGCAGGATCTGAACTGAAGCCCCATGGCTGAAGACTAGGGCCATATGGCCAGAGCTGGGGTCACTGCTTGAATGGGGCAGGAGCTGCATGGGGGAGGGGAGGTCACTGCCAGCAGCCAGAGACCTGGAACTGGAGGTACGAACTCATGGCTGAAGCCCTGATCTGCAGAGCCAGG